TGCAAAAATAAGTTATTTTTTTGTGATTTATCTATTTTTGTAAAACACTAATTTACTAATTAATCTAAAAAATATAAAATTAAATCCTCAATATAAATGCAATTTATTTTTGTATTTTCTATGATTTAAACAAGATTAAACATGCACACAAAATGCAAACAAACAGAAAAATTCTACAATAATTCCTAAAATAACAAATAATTAAAAGGAAAAATATAATTTTTGGAATTCTGCAGGAGTAATTCATGTGAGATAAAAATCACGTGCTCACAGCTGCCCCTCTTTGCTCGGGGACACGAAGGGCTTTCGGGCAAAGATAAAATGAGCAATTATGAGGGATTTTGCTCGTTTAACACTCCGTGAGAAGCAATTTTGAAAACGCCTGACCGAACCTTGCTTCAGAGGTTGTCTACATATCCTTGGCTATAAAAGAATCAAGTCAGTGTAGTTCTGGAAGTTTTGGTAGCTGGGACAACCGGGAAGCTGTGATTTCACTATTGCTGCTGCTGCTACTGCTTGCAGAACTCCTTATTACACCAAAATGGAAAATAAGAAGCTAAACTAGTTAAACCTATCAGCTACGAGTTACAAGATTTCTATCTATAAATCTCTTGAAGATTGATCTTGAGTCTTAACTGGTTCTTGCTATAGACCCCGATCTGAATCTTGATGCTCAATAGTTGTAGGTGCTGGTTCTTCTTCAGCTTTGGATCAAGGCGGGACATGCGAAGCTTGTGACTTCAATTATATCTTGAGCAGTCCGCATCTTTCTCCACTTCAGCACTTTGAATTCACTTCTTTTGTTTTTTTTCTTCTTTCTTTATTCTGGATTGAGACTCATTCTTTTGGTCATCTCGAATCATGTGCCTCAAGGTCAAACATGCTCAGACACCAAAACAAACAAATGAACGAAATTTTTTTGCCCCAGTTTTACTTGGAAAATTTCGTGAGTTATTTGGTAATTAAGATCTAAACTATTTTATTTTTATTTTATTTTTTATTTTTTGTATTTTTTTGAAAGCGATAAAATAAGGATTGTGTGTCTATAGGAGGAAAGATTAGGTAATGGAGCCCTATATCTAAAAAACTCAACTAGGGAATGGAACCCTATGTTGGAAAAAGGCGACTAGGGAATGGAGGCCCTATGTCTAAAATCTCAACTCAGGTATTGGAGCCCTAATGTTGGCAAAAAAACAACTATGGAATGGAGTCTCTATGTCTAAAATCTCAATTCAGGGATTGGAGCCCAAATGTTGGCAAAAAGGCGACTAGGGAATGAAGGCACTATGTCTAAAAAATCTCAACTCAGGGATTGGAGCCCTAATATCTAAAAATCTCACCATAGGGATTGGAGCTCTAATGTTGCTAAAAAGGCGACTAGGGGAATGCAGGCCCTATGTCTAAAATATCTAAACTTAGGGGTTGGAGCCCTAATATTGGCAAAAGGCGACTAGGGAATGGAGGCCCTATGTCTAAAATCTCAACTCAGAGATTGGAGCCCTAATGTTGGCAAAAGGCGACTAGGGAATGGAGGCCTTATGTCTAAAAATCTCAACATAGGGATTGGAGCCCTAATGTAGGCAATAACGCGACTAGGGAATGGAGGCCCTATGTTTAAAAATCTCAACTTAGGGATTGGAGCCCTAATGTTGGCAAAAAAGGCGACTAGGGAATGAAGGCCCTATGTCTAAAAATCTCAACTCAGGGATTGGAGCCTTAATATTGGCAAAAATGGCGACTAAGGAATGGAGGCTCTATGTCTAAAATCTCAACTCAAGGATTGGAGCCCTAATGTTGGCAAAAGGCGATTAAGGAATGGAGGCCCTATGTCTAAAAATCTCAACTCAAGNACCCTATGTCTAAAATCTCAACTTAGGGATTGGAGCCCCAATGTTGGCTAAAGGCGACTAGGGAATGGAGGCCCTATGTCTAAAAAATCTCAACTTAGGGATTGGAGCCCTAATGTTGGCAAAAGGCGACTAGGGAATAGAGGCCTTATGTCTAAAAATCTCAACTCAGGAATTAGAGCACTAATGTTGGCAAAAGGCGACTAGGGAATGGAGGTCCTATGTCTAAAATCTCAACTTAGGGATTGTTGCCCCAATGTTGGCAGAAGGTGACTAGGGAATGGAGGCCCTATGTCTAAAATCTCAACTTAGGGATTGGAGCCCTAATGTTGGCAAAAAAGCATAAAAGATTGAGGTTGGGAATTCTAAGCTATCATTTTTTTTTGAATTTTCTTCTTATCTCTTTTTTTTAGTTCAATTCATTTTTCATTTCACTTTTCAGTAAAATGCAGGAAAGAATTTGGAGGAGACTTCCCTTTTGGGTTGATTATTATTGCAAAGCTGTTTCTAGAACTTGCACATTTCTTTTTCCTTTTGGTTGCACCTGCTTATTGCACGGTTGCTTTGGATTGCACCTGTTTCAATTTTTCAAACAAAGAACAATTGTTAGGTTGAAACGGTGGTTGGTTTTTGGCCTTGATTGTTTTTTATCACTTAATCTTGGCCCAACTCTTTTGGTGAAAACCTCTGCTGCTTGCTGGATTTTCTGAAGATTGATCTCTCTCTCATAAAATCGAGGAACTCAACTTTCCATATTTTCCGGATGGTGGTTCAACTGTGTGGTGCTTTTAGCCCTTTCACCTTATTTTTGCCTCTAAGGGCTTTTGACTTTGTATTTCTTTTCATTTTCAATAACTCTGATTTCAGAACATCAGCCATCATGGCCAGTCGGGACCGACTTGATGCACCCGCTGAGGCTGGGTAGTTTTCTTTGGACTTGGCTTTTCTTAAGAAGAACCTTGTAAAACCAATATTTCCACCTTTTCTTTGTATTAGTTTCAGAACAGAGTTAGACCTAAAGGGATTCAAGGAAAAGTAAACAAAGGACAAGAATATAAATATAAGGAGAAGTGTCCATTTGTCCCTTTCGGGGAGGAAAGAAGGACTTATCTGGGGTGCATGCAGACTTCAATAGACATGACATGCTTCTTGGACTGGATACCCGATCTGCACAACTATCCAACTTCTTATAAACCCATTGTGACCCGTGTTTTAAAAATAGAGAAACCTTTCCAGGACTCTTTCAAATACCAATGGTGGTGAGGTGTTTCTTCTTTTCGATCAACAGCGCCTTTTGCAGGTTTTCGCCAATCGACCTCTCTCATTTCTCTTCTCACAGTCGCCTTATAGTGCTCTTTACGAGTTTTTACTAACAAGACTCTCTCGTTTTTTAGTTTCTCTGCTCACCATCGGCTTATGGTGCCCGTAGGTTTTCACCAATAAGTCTCTCTCATTTTATTTCTCTCATCTTGATTACATTGGATCCAAACAACTGTGTTCTTCGATTTTGAAAACCTTTCACCAATTGATCGGAAGGACTTGAACAAGGTTTGGGTAAAAAGAGTTGGATCGAATTACAACTTTGGAACTGTTCAGGCGGGATCATGGTCGAACCATTATAATATCTGCCCAGTTTCACTTTTGGGAGACTTTGGATTTTTGTTTTGGTGTGACTGAACCCCAGGGGGGAGGCTTCCTACGTATCCTCTCAGAATCAAGTCGAACGTAGTTGAGGGAAACATTTTTTTTGTTGTTTTGTTTTGTTTTTTTTCGTTTTGTTTTCTCTTCTTATTTTTCTTCTTTTTCTTTCCATTCTTTTTTTTTTGACCAATGTTTTCAGGTTCAAAAGAGGGTAATGAAGGAAAGGTAACTAGCTCAAAGGGTTAGCAAAGGATTGTGTGTTTGGAGTAACGAGAATGAAAGACTTCGTCATCCCAATCGGATAATGTTATTACTGAAGAAGGATTATACATAGTACCTTTTGACTGCATCTGCATTTACAGTTGTTTTCGGGTCATTTCCTTTGATGTCTCGCAGATACAATGCCCCTTTTGGCAACAACTTTCTGATGATGTATGGGCCTTTCCAATTAGAAGAAAATTTTCCTTTTACTTCCTGATGATGGGGAAGAATACGCCTTAAAATGAATTGTCACACTTCAAAGTTTCTAGGCCGCACCTTCTTGTTGTAGGAACGGGCCATCCTTTGTCGATACAACTGCCCGTGGAAGACTGAGGCCATCCGCTTTTCATCAATCAGGGTTAACTGTTCCAAACGGGTTTTGACCCACTCACTGTCTTCAATTTCAGCTTCAATAATGATACGGAGAAAAGGATTTCAACTTCTGCGGGTATTACGGCTTCAGTGCCATAAACCAAAAGGTACGGGGTTGCTCCGACCGATGTGAGCATCGTGGTGCGATACTCCAATAATGCAAAAGGCAACTTTTCATGCCACTACCTGGAACTTTGAATCATCTTTCTCAAAATCTTTTTGATGTACTTGTTTGCTGCTTCGACAGCTCCATTGGCTTTGGGACGATAAGGAGTAGAGTTCTGATGTGTTATCTTGAATTGTTCACACATCTCCCTCATCAAATGACTATTCAAATTTGCAGCATTATCCGTAATGATAGTTGTAGGAATACCAAAATGGCAGATGAGGTTGGAATGCACAAAGTCTACTACAACTTTCTTGGTGATAGATTTGAGGGTAATTGCTTTAACCCACTTTGTGAAGTAGTCGATAGCGACCAATATGAATCTATGTCCATTTGAAGCTTTTGGCTCAATCGGCCCAATGAAGTCCATGCCCTATGCAACAAATGGCCAAGGTGCTTACATGGGATGTAGTTTTATAGGCAGTGCATAAATCAAATCACCGTGCACCTGACATTGGTGACATTTCCAGATGAAATTGAACCAGTCTTTTTCCATAGTCATCCAGTAATAACCTGCTCAGAGGATTTTCTTTGCCAAAACATACCCGTTCATGTGGGGTTCGCACACTCCTGCATGCATTTCATACATGATTCTCCCGGGCTCTTCGGCGTCAACACATCTTAACAAGTTGAGGTCCGGATTTCTTTTGTACAAGACATCACCGCTCAGGAAGAAGCCACTTGTGTGCCATCTAATGGTTCTCTTTTGGCCTCTACTGGCTCGCTCGGGCTATTCTTTGGTTAAGAAATCTTTTGATATCGTGATACCATGGCTGAATATTCGGTTCTGCCTCAACCGTATTACAGTAACTGTGACGTTCCTGGATTTGGATTTCCAATGGATCAATATGGGCATTGCCTAGGTATGACAGCATCGAGGCCAAAGTAGCAAGTGCATCGGCCAGTTCATTGTGACAGCGAGGGATGTACCTAAACTCTATTGACTTGAACTTCTTGCTAAGATCTTCCACATGTTTCTTGTAGGGGATAAGTTTGACATCTCGAGTCTCCCATTCTCTTTCGGCTTGTTGGATAATCAGATCCGAGTCTCTCATGATTAACAATTCTTTGACATCTTGGTCAATTGCCATGTTTATACCCATAATGCAGGCTTCATACTCGGCAGTGTTGTTTGTGCAGAAAAACCGAAGCCGGGCTATGGCTGGATAATGCTGACCAGTGGGTGAGATCAAGATTGCCCCGATTCCAACACCTTTTGCGTTTATCGCTCCATCAAAGAACATTTTTCAAGCATTAGTATCTTCGGATATTTCCTCAACTGAATTTACCTCTTCATTCGAGAAATAGGTGCTCAAACGTTGGTATTCATCATCAATCGAGTTTTCTTCCAGGTGATCTGCTAACGCCTGGGCATTTATTGTCGTGCGAGTGACGTAGACTATGTCAAATTCAGTGAGTAGGATCTGCCACTTTGCTAACCTTCCCATGGTCATTGGTTTCTGGAATATGTACTTTATAGGGTCCAACCTAGTAATGAGGTAGGTGGTGTAGGCCAACAAGTAATGCCTCAACTTCTGAGCAACCAAAGTCAGAGTGTAGCAAGTGCTTTCCAACAAGGTATATTTAGCTTCGTAACTTGTGAACTTTCTGCTTAAATAGTATAGTGCTTGTTCTTTCCTCCCGGTCACATCATGTTGCCCGAGGACACATCTAAAAGAATTCTCCAAGACTGTCAAATACAAGAACAGAGGCCTTTCCGGTTCAGGTGGGACCAAGACTGGTGGGTTCGACAAGTATTCTTTGATTTTGTCAAAAACTTCTTGACACTTGTCTGTCCATTTAATTGATACATCTTTCTTTAGCAGCTTGAAGATGGGTTCACATGTAGACGTCAATTGAGCAATGAATCGGCTGATGTAGTTCAATCTCCCCAGCAAGCTCATAACATCTTTCTTGGTTTTTGGAGGAGGCAACTCTCGAATGGACTTTATCTTTATTGGGTCTAACTCGATGCCCCTCCAACTGACTATGAATCCTAAGAATTTGCCAGATGGTACCCCAAATGCACATTTGGCTGGGTTTAACTTCAAATCATATTTACGCAGCCGCTCAAAGAATTTTCTCAAGTCCCAAACATGGTCATCCTGGGTCCTGGATTTGATGATCACGTCATACACATACACCTCTATCTCTTGGTGCATCATGTCATGCAAAATGGCAGTCATGGCCCTCATGTAGGTTGCCCCGACATTCCTCGGATAAAAGGCATGACCCTATAACAGTATGTGCCCCAGGGTGTGGTAAAAGCTGTCTTTTCTGCATCCTCATCATCCATCAACACCTGGTTATATCCTGCGTAACAATCCATGAAGGACTCTATCTCATGTTTGGCGTAGTTATCAACAAGGATGTGGATGTTCGGCAAAGGGAAATTATCCTTAGGACTTGCTTTGTTCAGATCTCTATAATCCACACACACTCGAGTTTTTCCGTCCTTCTTTGGCACTGGAACTACATTGGCTAACCATGTGATGTATCGAACCACTCAGACCACCCCCGCTTTCAACTGTTTCGTGACTTATTCCTTAATCTTGCCACTGATATCAGTTTTAAACTTTCTTTACTTTTGTTGGACAGGGGGATAATCGAGGTAAGTTGGCAACTTGTGAACCACCAAATTGACACTTAGTCCTAGCATGTCATCGTATGACGAACGAAACACATCTTTGAACTCAAACAAAAGTTGGATTAATGCATCACGGATTTTTTCATCTGTGTGAATGCTTATCTTGGTTTCCCTGATTTCTTTAGAACTACCCAAATTAATCGGCTCAGTATCATTTAAGTTTGGCTTAGGTCTATTCTCAAATTGTTCCAATCCTCGATTTATTTCCCTAAAAGCCTCTTCTTCATCATATTCTGATTCTTGGTTCATTATTTCACTATTAGATAGTGTGTTTGAATCTGAGCATAAATTCCGCAAGCATGTCATGTTATTTAAAGCCGCATTATTAGAACTGAAAGAAGAAATAAAAGAGAAAAATAACAAAAATCAGCAAGAATAAAGAAAGATGAACGATGAAATATTGATTTCATTTCTTTTAATTTGGAGATAATAGGGTTTACATTGGGAATTAAAGACAGGAAACTAAAGAAAACATCCGAGTTATACCCTGAAATAACTCGTGATGCAGAAAAAGTGGCAGAACTGGACTATCGGGATTCCCTCCTGATTTGGAACGGAGTAGCCTTCCAATTTTGCAGTTTGGCACTAGGTCCCATGTATAGCACCTCAGCGGTGCTTGATCCTTCCCCTGGTTGGACCATGTAGGTTTCACACAACATCTGCCTCATAGCCCCCCAGATTTCTTCAATTTCCTCGATTGTAAAGGCCTCATCTTCCTCTTCCTCATTGTACTTAGTCTTGACAAATGTCCTATAAAGATGCGAAATTGAGGCAAGACCCAACCATTGTTCTTTCTTTCATCCGCCCATTTTCCATCAGCTGATGTGGGTTAGAAGCCTACCCCAAAGAACTTCCCACTGGTAGCAAAAGTGATAGGTTCGGCGATTCCTTGCAATGAATTCCCGATCCCCTTCCCGGGATTGTAACCATGCCTGATCATTTCTTTGGCCACCATAATTGATGTATTTGAAAGAAAGGGTTGAGGGAAAGGGTCTCCTTCTTCACATTGGTCCGCGGCCACAATCTCGAAAGCCTGGTAGACTATATGTTCACTTCCTTCTCTAGCTTCAAGACAAGGGACTGACGGGTCCCGATAAATAGATTGCTCATCTTCCCCGTGAACTACAATCTCCTGATCATCATGTTCAAATATTACCATCTAGTGGAGAGTAGAAGGCACAGCCCCTGCTGCGTGAATCCACGGTCTTCCCAAGAGGAAATTATAAGAAGTATCCATGTCCAAGACCTTAAAGGTCACCTCGAAGTCCATTGGGCCGATAGTCAGGATCATATCAATCTCGCCTATTGTATCTCTCTTTATGTCGTCAAAGGCACACATACAAACGTTGTTAGGTCTAATTCTCTCAGTACCGATTTCCATACGCTGCAGAGTTGAGAGGGGGCAAATATCTACCCTAGAACCACCATCTAGCATGACCCTTTTCACATAATACCCATCGCATTTAACTGTCAGGTGAAGGGCTTTGTTGTGTGTTGTCCCTTCCGGGGGAAAATCATTCTTGCTGAAAGAGATTTGATTAACTGCAAAAAACCTCTTCGCCATCCTCTCCAACTATTCTACAGTGGTTTCAATGGGTACGTATGCTTCTTTGATCAACACTTTTTGATGTTCAGTTGAATTTATTAGCAAAGACAACAAAGAAACTTGGGCAGGAGACTTTTGGAGCTGGTCGATTATCTCGTAGTCTGCTATTTTCATTTTCTGGAAGAACGCTTCTGCTTCTTCAGCACTCACTGGCTTCTTAGGCAAGAAACACTTCTTTGTGGCATTATTCACTTCCTCCAGATTGAGGTACTTCTTAGCCAGGTTATTTTCCTTAACTTCTCCCGAGATCTCTCTACCTTTGTAAGTTACTACTGCTTTATTGTAGTTCCATGGAATGGTGGTGGGATATGTCATGGGCCTTTAAGGTACGTGGCCAATAACCACGGGCTCATTCAGCCTTGGTGGAGTTATCGGCCCCCGTACCACGTAAGTCCCTTTGGGCACATATATTTTAGCTCCCTCGTTTAGCTTTAACCTTCTAGGAGGACTCAATGACATTTGTTCTTTCCTGTGACCTCGGGGAACATAGAGAACGACATCTTTTGAGGGGGCTGACTCGGTTTCAATTCCCGCTTTCTTTTCTGTATTTTGGGGGGTAGGTTTGCTCTTCTTCTCCCCCTTGTCTTGTTTCGCGACAACTTTTGGATTCTTTTCCACATAGGCTATGTCAATGATGGCTTTTAGAGCTGGGTCAAACTCTCTGTCTTCACAGATTATTCCAATAACTGGCTTGCTGTTGTGAGCCGGTAATGGATTGTTGGTTACATTAGGAACGTCTTCGTCCTTTAGCACTATTCTCTTCTATTCTATTAGATTTTCCACAGCCCTTTTTTAGGGTCCAACAATCATATGTATCATTCCCTTCTACCCCTAAATGGTAGGCACATCGAGTACTAGCTATGTAAGTGGGCGACACTGGGTCCTGCCTGGTTTGGGGTACAGGCTGCAACAAACCCATCAGAACAAGTTTGGGGAACAAACTGGAATAATACTCACCGATGGGTGTGAATTTTGGTATCTTGGGTGGTTCCTGGGTACAGGAGTTATTCTGCGGAGGTCAGGGATTATAGTGAGCTTGGTGAGGAGGTTGATTTCTGGGAAATGGAGCTCGATTTTGATTAAGTTGTTGTTGTGGCCTAACGTAGGGTTGGGCATTTATCACTGTGTATAGCAGAGGAACCATAGCATAAGCCACATCTTGGTGGAGATAGAAATGTTATGGGGTTCTTTTAGATAAAAGATGTCTGGGTGGACGGGGTTTTCTTGTACTTGATGTTGCTATTGTTGTTTCTTATTTCTTCTTTCGGTTTGCTACTCCTCCAGAACCGCCTTGGATTGCTTAGGAGGTAGCCTTTATAGCAGACTGACTCAAGATTCGCCCTGTTTTCAACCCATTTTCAACCATTTCACCGATTTTGATGGATTCGGCAAACGACTTACCCATCACAGACATCATATTTTGGTAATAATCAGCCTCTTGGGCTTGAAGTAAGACATTGACCATCTCTATTTCGTCCATTGCATAATTGACTCTAGTCGCTTGTTCGCGCCATTTGACAGCATACTCGCAGAAGCTCTTCGAGGACTTTTTTTTAGGTTTGATAATGAATTACTGTCAGGGCGATGTCGATGTTATATTGAAACTACCTGACAAAATCCCGATCCAGGCCGTCCCAAATATGCTAGTGAGATATATCCTGATCCATATACCATTTAGAAGCAATGCCGACCAAACTCTCTCCAAAGTAAGCCATGAGTAACTCTTCTTTTCCGCCTGCTCCCCGCAGCTAGTTGCAGTACCTTTTGAGGTGGGCAATGGGATCCCCATGACCGTCATATTTTTTAAACTTTAGGGTTTTGAAACCCAAGGGTAGATG